AAAGTCATGGCTGTGCCAGATTTCACCCTTAGCACATGGAGACACATCTTTTCACCCAGTTATAGCCAAGCCCTCGCGGCCAAACAGACGACTGGATCCTCCCCTGGAAAGTGGGTGTGCTCGCTACAAAGAACAGAAAAAGGAGAGGAGTGACTTTTCAGCAGACTTTTGGTTTTTAATAGCACAGCAGAACACACTAAAATCATTCAGCTAACAGCATACTATGCTGGATGTGAAAAATAAAAGAACTGCACTTCCTGCTTTTAACATCTCTCCTTTTAGACTCAACTACATTGAAAATACACAAAGCAGCTTTGAAGGGAACGTCTTATGCTCCTGCTGTTGATTCATATTTTCTCCCAGAGACCAATTTCTTCTCCTAGACTGGAATTTTTCTCTATTTCCTTATATTAATATCCCACTGATAAGAAGGCCTCTAAGGAGTATTAGATATTATTAACAGGTTAATGATTGTGGCCAATTTTTTATGTTAATTTTGTTGAGATAAAATTTTTATATAGTAAAATTCATCACTTTTAAGTGTACAATTTGATGAGTTTTGACAAATATACGCAATCATGTAATAACCACCAAAATCATACTAAACATTTTCCTCGACCCCAAAAGTTCCCATCTTTATCTTTGCAGTCGACTTCCTCCCCAGCTTCCTGGCTCCTGATTTGTTTATCACTACAGTTGTGCTTTTTCTAGAACTTCATACACATGGACTCCTACAGCATGTATCTTATTTCTGGCTTATTTCAGTTAGTACAATGCTTTTGAAAAAACTGTCCATGTTGTTGCTTGCACCAGGAATTCATTCCTTTTTATGGCTAAGTAGTATTCCACTGTATGGCTAGACCACAAAACTGGAGCTTGTCAATTCACCAGCTAACAGACATTTGGTTTCTTTTCAGTTTTTGGCTATTATAAATAAAGCTACATCGAACATTCAAGCACAAGTCTTTGGGTGTGTGTATGTTTTCAGGGGTCATATAGTAAATGTATGTTTAACTTAATAAGAAAATTTTATATTGCATTCTGGTGCCTATTTCTGAACACCAGATTTGCCTCAATCCCTTAGTTAGAAGGAAAAAGCCCCTACCTATAACAATTCTAATTATTGATGCCACTGAATAATACAGATCACTGACAAGGGTAAGAATGGATTAATCTATTAATACTGAGCACTCATTACAAGTGTGTATTCTACTTCAGGATATGGGGAAGAGAGTTCACCACCTGGTGAGGAAGCTAAGTTACACTGTTTCAAAATGAATATGATTATCTGTTGTGAGAAGTAAAGCTAAATATTTTATTTATTCATTTATTTTTTCCCAAGGAAGACCAGCCCTGAGCTAACATCTACTGCCAATCCTCCTCTTTTTGCTGAGGAAGACTGGCCCTGAGCTAACATCCGTGCCCATCTTCCTCTACTTTATATGTGGGACACCTGCCACAGCGTGGCTTGATAAACCGTGCCCAGGTCCATGCCCGGGATCTGAATTGGCGAACCCCAGGCCACTGAAGCACAGCATGCAAACTTAACTGCTGCACCAGCAGGTAGACCCCTAAAGGTAAATATTTTAGACCCCTGGTACTCAAAGTGTGGTCCATGGACCAGTGGTATTGGCATCACCTGGGAAGTTGGTGGAACTGTAGAATCTCGTCTCCACCCCGAGCCACATTGTCAAATCTGCATTTTAACAAGCCCCCTGGGGATCTGAGTGTTTGCGAAGTGCCACCTGAGGAGGTCAGAAGAAAGAGGAATTACACCCCACTGAGGGCATCAGGGCTTCACAAAGAACAGTCTTTGAGAGGAACTGGAAGCGCACCCTAAATTCCACGCTGCCCCTTTTAAAAGTCTTTTGGGCTTGACCTTTTAACGCTTCCAATCAACAGAATTTTCTCTGAAGAAACTAGTTACACTCTCTTAGAAAATAAGTTGCTTTGAAAAAAATTTCCCTCCCCACTCTAGGGGATGTTTGTGGTTTCTCTGTAAATCCCTGGACATTTTCATTCCTACTTTGTTTTCGGTCTAATCCTTCTATTTACTACCAGTATCACTACGATAAGACTGGTACCTGTGAGAGGAACCATCGGACTCCTCTCAGATTACACCCAAAGGAACACACTCCATCCTGCATCGCCTTCTGCGTCACTTAAGTACAACTGAATCACCAGCCAATCCTTTACAACAACGTTTCCAATTATTGCTATTCACAGGTTGGACCCAAGAATGACAGATTTTAGAGGTGGAAAGACCACAGGAGTTCAGGGCATGTAGACCAAGTAAGGTGCTATGTCACCACACTACCGAAGAGGCAGCCAGGATTTAGGAAAATTTACAAATTTGCCAAAGGTGACCTCACTCCTAAGTAGCAGCGTCAGGAGCACGGGAGAACGTCTTCATGTGGCTTTTCCCCCAGCACAATGCAGGGCCATCGTGGTGCACAATGATAACCCACCGCCCTTCATTCTGTTCCCATCCTCTCTGATCTCCACGGTTTCGATTCCTGAGCCACCTGCCTTGGGGGTGCCGCACTGGCCTGGGTCTCACTCCTCTCGCCTCCCTGCCTGTGCTCCTAGGTCTCGTCCTGCTTGGCACACCTAACCACAGGTGTTCTCAAGCTCTTATCTTAATCCTGTTTCCTAAACCCACGGTCTCGTTACTTCTCAGCTACCAGGAAGGATCACTAATCTTTCTTCCCTTTCAACAAGCCCACATGCTGTACCGGGCATAAAATCCTCAACACCCAGCTCTCCTTTTGTCCCTGCCTGGGGAAAAACCTTCAGTGGCTTCCCACTGTCACCAAATAAACATAAAATCTCTTGGCCTGGCATTTCAGACTTCTATAATCTGGTCCTTCCATCTAACTTCGCATCTTCTTCATGCAGTTTATTCTCCGTATGTGGCAGCACAATTCGGAGTTAAGATTGCTTGCTTGGCCATCAGATACCCCAGGTCTGAGTCTCAGCTCTAGCTCTGACTAGTCGTATGACCCTCAACCTCTTTATACCTCAGTTCCCTCCGCTGTAAAATGGGAATAATGATACTACCGAATAGAGTTACTGTAAGTGGTAAATATAAAGCACGTAGAAAGAGGTCTGGCACACGTAAGAACTCCCGAGGTCTAGTTTTACCTCTTCTTTTAAAACTAATGAAGCATCAGCCACCCATACTCCAAGCCCTCACTAACTTCATAACATCCCAGTAAAGATCCTAATGAACTCATGAAATTATGCTAATAATGGCCTCAAAAAATTAAGCTTCCATTACTGTGCTAGCTAGGATTTCTGTACATTCGTTTTAGCACTTCAGAGGACCTATGATAGCAAGGATTACTCATCTGCTTCTAAATATAAAACCCAAGGCAGTAAAGACAGTAAGTCAGTAGCAAAACTCGTCTTAGAATTAGATCCTGCTTCTGGCTATAGAAGCCACACCTCTTTATGCCTTTCATAATAAAACTGCTCTGAGTCTTAAAAACAACCAACCAACCCAGATTTGTAATCAGCATATCAAATTTATGTCTTGAAGCAAGAAATAAAATCTTGAAGTCTACAAATAATCTGAGTTGGCAGACAGGTTTCATCTTACACTCTGATTTGGATCCCTTATAATGTTGAGAAGGATTCAAATACTGTGTTGTAGGCTCAGAAGTGAGCACCGGGATCAATCAGCAATGTCTAACAAGGTAAGGATTTGTCAGCCGGAGACTGGAGAATGGGGCAGAAGAACAAACACTGCGACACACGGCAAGCAAAATAGCTGGAATTTTCTGAACACTTACATCACAGAACTGTTCTAAGTCCTTTGATGTATAATTCTTTTAATCCTCAAAACCAACCTTAAAGAAAGGTGCTATTGTCATCCCTATCATGCGATGAAGACACTGAAGCACAGAGAAATTACAATGTACCCAAGGATACCCAAGTAGTAAGTGGTGGAGCCGGGATTTGAACCCACGCACACACCAGAATCCATGCTCTTCACCAGTATGCTATAAAGACTCAAAATATTTCCATCTTCTTGATGCCAGGAGATGTAAAGATTGACAGGAAAAGCAGTTCCACAAATCACCAAGATGATTATAGCCCAGATTCCATTAAATTAAGATGTCTGAATAATCTCGTGAATAATCTCAGTCATAACAATGAAGACCTCAGGAGATTCCTAAGGACTAAATGCCAAACCCACTGTGACTGTCCAAATTTGCCAGCACCACTAACGCACAATGTTCTCAGTCAATGTGTCCTTCACAAAACGATGTCCAAACCAAACAGTGACGTAACAAATTTTCTAGTAGAATAATTGTTCTCTGATGAACCTTAACAAATCAGAAAGACTATGGATTCATGGGTAAAACATGGAGCTAAATCCTGGTGGATGTTTGAGCTCCAGAGCTTTCTCAGAACAAATTTCTAAACTGGTGTCTTAAAATTTATACATTGGAGTTCCAGGAATGGTAAGGAGAATACACTTAAAAATTATACTAAGGTACTTTAATGAAATTATTATTAATCCCAGCATTTAATGGCAGAGATGGAACTAGAGTTCATTCTAGTGAGAAAACAAGGCCCAGAGAGGCCAAGCACCATGCCCAAAGCTACACAGCTTGTTAACAGTAGTTTCTACAATAGTTGTGGAGCACATGTTCCAGTTTTAACTTTAGAGTTTTCTTACTCTTTCATTTCCATATTGGTTTAGAAGAGTCCCAAAGGAGGCCCACTCAGACTGAGAATAAAAGTAATTTTTAAAATTTCCATAGCTCGACTTTGGGATATGCTGAAGAGTCCTTGATTATATTAATAGTCTCATAGGCCCTCTGGCCACATGTTAAACTAGGAAGAGAGAAACTAACAGGCAGCCGTATGCAAAGAAGGAGAGGGTATTTTAAAGTCACCTGCCAGAGGTGGAAACATTGTATAAGAGCATCTCAAGTGTTCAAACTCACATGTGAGAGGTCTGGGACAATGGCAGTGTTGCTTTGGCTCACCTGCAAGTTTAGGAATCTGTTCCCCAAAGGCCCTCTCTTCCTGAAGGTGAAGGAGGTGGTGCGGGAGGCTCAGGAGGCCTTCTGCTAAATCGCTGGGGCCTCTCCCCCAGAAATTATCCAAGACAGAGGGTGGTGCTGGTTTTTCCTTTGCAAGTGCTGAAATAAAACACAAGGAGGGCACATTGATAAGAATGGCTCAGCTACTCATGAAAACTTTTAAGCCGTTAAAGAAATTTTAATGAAAACACTATTTTAATAAACTCACTTCTGACCCCTCCCAAAATGCTTTACAGGATGATGAAATTACCAAAAACAAACAAACAAACAAATCCAACAGCAAAATGGGCAGCACGTATTCCATTCCAGTAGTTCATGACTGGTTATCCACAGGGTCCGGCTCAGTCTCCTTGAAAAAAGCAACGCATGCAGCTCAATTAATCCAAGGCAGCTGGGTGACGACAGCACCGGGTCTTACTGTTCATCTTCTCTCCCCACATGCACAGCTTTACCGTGCACTGCGGAGGGGAGAGGAGCGCTGCTCTGACACCCTCGGAAGAGGAAGGCAGGGCAGGGAGAGAGCAGCATGAGGAGGAGGTCAAGAGAATAAAAACATCCAGCAGAAAGTGAGGGGAAGGAAGCCGGGGCCACCGGAGGGAAGAGGAACTAGCTGGGAAAGTGCTTTGGGCCACTTTCTCAAAAGATGTGGAAAACAACTCAAACTGCTCCTGGTACAGCTTTTTTTACACAAGACTAACCCCGACACAAAAACCGCATGCTCTGTATTTCTTGTGTTAGTAGAAAATATGCTATTTTTAAAAAAATTCTTAGGAAACAAATATCAAAAAGCAAAACCCACAAAAATATGGCCAATATTTTATTTCAGAAGCCACTTATGAACTCTAATGTCCTGCAATAAGGAAATAATCATGCTTAATTATGGAAATCATATAGTAACATGAAAAAGTATTTAGATTCTACCAAGAGAGATTCTAAAAAGCTGAGGACACTGAGATTATTTCTGTTACATATAGGTGTGTGCAACACATTACTGAAAGGCATTAGAGAAAAATGAAATCAGTTGATGTGCGGAATTGTGGATTACAGGGAATTTTTTCTTAAAAGTTTAAAATTTATAGAGAAACAGAAAATGCTTCTTTTCATCTATTTCTATATGCATTTCACTGTTGTAACGCTAAGACGCATTTGGAAATCAGCAGAGCTGTGCTCTTTAGTGGCTATTATTATAACAGGATTATCCACCATGAGAGGGAATTTTGAACCTAAGGAAATTATGGATAATGATAAATTTGTGCCTCAGAATCATTCTCCCTAAATGTATGGCAAGTACAGCTCCTGGGTTTCTCTCATCTTCTACCGGCTACTATTATTACCAGCTGGAGTAAAGCAGCAATCACACTTTTGAAGTTGGAAGGGTCCTTTAAGATGATCTCATCTGAATGGGTTGGTAAGGAAACCTCAACAATGGCAGACCAGGAGCAGCTGCGGGATGGGTTTAGTTACACCTGGAGAAGCTTAACTGAGGGAGGGAACAAGAGAGCCCATTCTCGTGTTTGAACAGCCTTCCTAGAGAAGGGGCACTGGCCTGCTTCTGAAGGTTACTGGGGTTTAAGCCAAGGCCAGTGACGGCCACAGTCAAGGACTTAGGTGTGAGGTCAGTGCGGAGGAACCTGCTACTATTTAGGTTTCCTAAAGATCATGCAGGTTGCGTTCTTGGCAATGAGTTGCTCCTTACTAAAGATATTCTGCTCTAAAGCCCACTGGAGAGGGATTTGGACAGCAGTGCTTATTAAACTTTAACGTCCATTGGCATCGCCTGAGCACCTTGTTAAAAATGTCAGTTCTTGTTCAGTAGCTCTGGGCCTGAGAATCTGCATTTCCAGCAAGCTCACAAGTGATGCCAATGCTGTGGGTCAAGATGGTGGGTCCCGAGTGTCCAGGACGTAGTTTGATTACAAGCATTAGAATGTTATTTCAACCACTGCCTCCCTAAGGGCACAGAGTCTTCTGACCATGACTACAAGGTACTCTCCCACCCTGAGTGGGGAGCGGATGATTAATAAATAGCTTACGTGGTTATGAGCACGGTTTTATGAGTCCACAGATTCAAATTTCCAAAAAAGTTTGTATCTTGGTATCTTGCAGTGCCCCCTACATCATACGATAACTAATTTTGCACAATTCTAAAGAAGAGATGTTTCACTTCCATGAAAAAAAAAGTGATGCTCTTACTCTAAGCTTGGCAAATAATTGAAAGCAAATAAGTGTGTTCTGATGAATGAATGGACGATTGAATGAATAAATATATGCTTGGCATTCAAAATGCAATTATTTGTGGTTTCAGTGTACTACAGTTAACAGAGAAGTAGGATGAGAGGAAATATGGCTATAAAGTAATTTTTCCAGTGACTGATGTTATAAAATCGTGTCTCCAAAGGTGGGAGGGGGAGTCTCCTGAGGCCCGATTTGTAGTCTTCCTTTTCTTCAATGTAGAGCTTTCCATTATTTTCCTAGCCCTGAATTTCACCTCCCCACCTCCCAACTGGGTCATAAAAATTTCCTTCAATGCTTTGAAAGTCCCCGTTTCTTGCCTGTGCATAATTGGCTCTGCTCCCTTACATATGTAAGAACTTTGGGCTTTCAATCAGTTCAAAATCCTATGTGACGTCTTTCCTGGAAAAATATGCTAATATCTGAACACACACAGGCCGTCCTCAAATTTTAAAGCGTTCTTAGGTTTCTCTCCCAGACTAAATGAAATCACAGCAAAGAGGGAACTCATTTCCTGCCTTTTCTCTGACTCTGAAAGTCCCCCTTCCAAAGGGTTTACTGTTTTAGTTTGCTTAAAAGTTGTAGGTAACATTCCATCGGATCTACACAAGCCCTTTCCTCAAACTGCTTATTGTGTCAGTTTGTTCTGAGGGAACATAGCTTATTCTGCTCCCTGGGAAGTGTCACCTCCTGTTTGGTAATCCCTCTGTTGCTGTCTTTAAAAGAAAGAAGTGAGTTAGCTCAGGGGTGAACAATCTGAGGGGCATATATCAAATCTTAAGATTAAGGTGTTGGAAACTGTCCTGCTCTCCACAGCAAACGAAAATATGTGGCGACACTTATATTACAATCCATCAGATGATCCTCTAAGGCCAAATTACAAATACGATGCAAACCTGAATATGGGGTACCTTATAATTATTAATACAAGTAAGCCAATACATGCGATACATATTTTTTATGAAATCATATAATCCTAGATTTACTTCCTAACACTGGTAGGTTAACCCCTTAGGCAAAGTGAGTCAAATTCATTTCCTGATAAAATTAACTCTGAAAATTTTCACCTTCTACTACAACTTTCTTGATTTAGTCAATAAACAATTTCCCACTTGTCCTAGGCACTGAACGTACAGTAGTACAGAAGAAAAACAGTTTACAATCCAGGAAAGAGGCAGAAATTAGCAAGGAGTTCCTAAGAAATGACTAAATTACAATCATGGTATGACTAGAAGTGACCTGGGTGGGGAAGGACAGGGAGCTGCTCTGAAGAATTTGAGAGAGTTCTTAGAGAATTTCTCTGAGAAGGAGTTAACCAGATGAAATAGGGTGGAAAGCATTCCAGGCAGAGGAAACAGCATTTGCAAAGATTCTGAGGTAAGAATGAAAAGAGTGCACTGGAAGAATTGAGGCTGCTGACAGTAGGACGGATGGTGAAAATAATAACAGCTAATCTTTTCTGCATGCCCTCTACAGGCACAAACTCACACAATCCTAACAGCAGCGCTGAGACAAGCACAGTTATCCTAATTCTATAGATAAGGAAACCGAGGCCTCGAGAAGTTGACTTGTCCAATGTCTCAGAGCTAGAAGGTGTCAAGCCAGGGTCTGGCCTCCAGTCTGCTGCCAGGGTCTCTATTCTCAGTCTCTCAGCTGGCATAGCTTCTCAGGAGCCAGGTCAACCTGGAGCTTTCCTCGTGTTCCAGATCATTCTGACAATTTTCATTTTTCACAGAAGGACATCATGAAATACAGACGTATTAGTGTAGCTTTAGTCTCATTTCCAGAGTCTTGATAAAGGTATGGTTCCTGGCTGGAACCTATTTCATTAGGAAACAGTACATGGGAATTTTTTTATTACAAAATTGTAATTTTTTTATTACAAAAATGTTAATAGAAGTTCAAATGTTAATAATAACAAATGCCATGAACCCATTAAGCAAAATAACCGTGTCTTCTAGGGGAATTTTTTAAATGTAGACTTATGTTCCCCACTCTACCCTGTTCTTCTCCCAGAGGCAACCACTATCGGGAACTCTACAGAATGCCAGTCCACTCTTTATTCACACCCATGCACACACACACATTCACAAACATTGTAGGTTATATGACTGTTTTAAGTGATGTTTAATGTTTACATAATAAATACATAATATTCTGAAATTTGTGCTTTGAGGTCCATCCACATTGCTGCAGAAACGTGTGTTTCATTCTCTTGAACTTCTGTAGAGAATTTTATCCACCAAATGGCACAAAGTTATCCATTTGCTACAAGCAGACATTTAGGTTGTTCTCAGAGAATTGCTTATCTAAATGTCATTTTGGAGCCAAATCTCTTTTTTTCAATCTAGAAAAAACAGTTTTACTAAGACAGTGAATCTTACAAAATGCTAGAAATACTTCAGAATTCAAACTTCACTTTGAAAGAGTTTTTTTCTAAAACATAAATCTTTGATAATTCAAGTTGTATAAAAATACCTAGATATTTAAAATACTATGATTCTGAAAGTTAATAGTATTTTAAATTAGAAAATAAATTCCTAGTTAAGTGAATCTATAGTACTCCTGTTGAAAACATATTGAAGAGAAAGCAGACACAGAGTGAGTCTTATACAGCCAGTTTCCCTTCCTGATAACCACACGAACTGGGCAGAAAAGTCAGAGGGTTGGAGCAAGTAGATAAACAAACGCAGGTTTCTCTGGAATGCTTTGTTCTGTGCTCTGGCCAGAAAATAAGCCAGGGCACAACCCACAGAAAGATAACAAAATCTCTCTTTAGAATCAAGGGAGTGGGCAGTGCCTACTATGCGCGAGAGGTAACGTTTGAGAAGGCAGACAATGAAACGGAGCAATAAAACACCTAGTCTTTGACTCTGAAGTGTTAGATCTATAAACAGTGTGGTGAAAACAATCATCTGTTTACATTCACAGAAAATTTTAGCTCAAGGACACCGTATCCAGGTTTATTATCAAGTGCAAACTGAAGTCAAGCCCACAAATATGGGAAGACCCATCTACAGGATTCCTATACCTCTAACATTATTTTTTATAAACAAGAATCAGAGAAAACCTCACAAAGCAGACGTTTTAGAATGTGGATAACTGTTTACGAATGGCTGCATTCTTTACACTATAAAAGCACCTAGTCTAGACAACGCGAAGGGAAATCTGAAAAGAGGCATTTCTCCTCGGAAGGAGGGGAAAAGTCTCTTCCAGTAGATTTCTACAGAGGCGGACACATCCCCAAGAAGGCAATCGAAGAAAGGAGTGTGGGTTTCCACTGAGAGAAGTAACTCCACACTGGGGGCCACTATGGAGCTGGACCGTTCGGCCCCATTTCACAAACAACTAGCCAACTGTTGGAGCACATTCCATAGGCAAGCCAAGGAGATATCCCTTCTTCTAGATCCCTGGCTTCCAGCCCAAGAAATCCTCTTGGACCTAGGGAAACCCTCCCAGGCTTCAGGAAGCAGCCCTGAACTCAACAGAAATTTACCCTACCAGGAGTTCAGTGAAAGAACTGGCCAAGCAGATGGAGCAGCTCCATCATCCACTCATCCATCTGTCCATCCATCCATCCTACACAGAAAGGCATCACCCATCTATCAGATGACACAAGATGTCAGGGTGCAGGGACTGTCTGAGCTGAGAGCAGACAGGTACAGAGGCAAGTGCACAGAGCCACACATCGAAATACAGACAATGAAACACACCAAGCATAACCTTTTGCCTCAGTCTAACCTCTCAACTACAGGTTCAAAGTACATTATATTATCATTTTCCAATTACACAATATGTATGTTATACAGAATATAGGATTAGCTTAAACATGCAATTTTTTTTTTGCATTCTCCCTCAAAGGGAAAAATATATAGTATAAACAGCAGGAAGGAGAAGTTGAAAGAGGTTTAGCAAGAGAATAAGGAATCACATAGAACAGAAACCAAAACTAGGACTACATAAAGCTCACCATAGTGACCGGCAGTAAGCAATGGCTTCTTACGGAAAGCACGGGACAGGTCAGCAGCGCACAGGCCCGCGACAGCTGCACCAGCCTACAGACACAGGAGGCTAAGGGACATGGCCACGCAAAGAGCATTTAAGACAAAGCCACCAGTGAGGCCCTCGGTCCCAAAGCAAGGCCACAGGAGAAGAGGGCAGGAAGTGGCCTGAAGCTGTGGAGTCACCCTGGGGACTTCATAACAGTGCGGTCCTTGTGTCTCCTAACACCAGAAACTCAGCCCGGAATAAAACACAGGTGCGTTGTGAGGCAGTTTAAAACCAACCTTTGCTGAAGAAAGAACTCGGTCGTCTCATCTGCTCTGCATAGTTTCTCATTACCAACAGGCCTAATTGTTGGGCTGCTGTTTGATCCGAGGGCTTTTTCATGTTCTCAACTGATCTCTGACATGCCTAAGTACAGCAAAACGAAACCTTTATTCACAACAAGCCATACCATTTGAAAATATGGATTTCATTTAAAAAATTAAGTTTGACTTTTTTTTCCCTGTCAAAGATGATTCTGGACCAGAGGAACTTGGGAAAGCTGCACGGAGGATGTGGCCCCAGTGTGGGTCTTAAGGATGGGTGAGGATGCCTCAGCAGAGGCCCAGGTGGGCAATGAGGGGACGACTCGGAGGGCTGATGGGCAAGGTCGGTCTGGGATGTGTCAGGAGGCCAAACTGGCTGAGTCTGAAAACGCTAGTGAAGAGCAGTGAAGAAATAAAGAAAAAGCCACAAAATGGTAATGGAACCTCTATCTTCCTACAGGGCACATCACAGATATGGATCAGCCAGGGGCAAGAGAGGGCGCTCTGTGAGCCAGTCCAGATGGGAGCCGCTTGGACAGGGTGTAGCCAGGGCAATTCCAGGACCACCTGGGGATGCAGAGGGAGAGGCCAGGGCAGCAGGCCCCCCGCAGACCCTCTGCATTCATTTCCCAGGGCTGCAAGAACAAAGCACCACAAACGGGGGGCCTTACGACAACAGAAGGGTACTGTCTCACAGTCTGGAGGCTAGAAGTCCAGAATCAAGGTGTCGGCAGAGCCCTGCTCCCACGGAAACCTGACACGGAGGATCCTGCCTTGCTTCTTTCTACATTCTGGTGGTTTGCTGGCACTCCTTGGCATTCCTTGGCTTGCAGATGCACCACTCCAGCCCACCATCTTTGCACAGTGTTCTCCCTGTGACCCTGTCTTCACATGGATGCTTCTGATAAGGACACCAGTCATATCGGATGAGAGCCCACCCTACTCCAGCATGACTTCATCTTAATTGATTACATCTGCAATGATGCTATCTCCAAATAAGGTCACATCCTGGAGTACTGGGGGTTAGGATTTCAACATATCTTTTTGGGGGACACAATCTAACCTAAAATATCCTTCTTGGGGTGCCCAGTCCTCACCCTTAGCCAGAAGAACTCATGCTCCAGAGCCACTCAGAATACCTGGGTGCTAATTCAAGTTAAAGAGAAACAGAAAACAAAATTACTCTGTGGTGGTGAAAGTCAGAACAGTGGCTACATTTAAGGAGGGGACCCATGACTGGGTGGAGCACGTGTGCACTCCTGGGGCAGGAAATACTCTAGTTCTTCATCTGGAGGCAGGTTACACGGGTGTGTTCACTGGGAGAAATGTGTCAAACCACACTTACATGGTTTGTGTAGTCCTCTGCATATCTGACATATTTCCATGAAAACTCCACTTTAAAAGACATTAGAGAAGATGGAGCTGTCCAGGAAATAGAGGTCTTGGAATCCTAGGTAGAACCTCAAGGAGGACCACTACCTGGGAGGAGCCACAATCCAAGAGCTGGCCACTCAGCCCTACTGGTCCAGACCCTGGAGCAGTCAGTTCACCTGAGATGTTCAACTCCTAGGAGGCTGGTGTGTAACTGGAAATGCCAAAGCAATTCACTTATAATGAGAAAAATGGGAATACCAAGCAGTCTATATATTTGAACTGGCAGATTAGCAAATCCACGAGCGCTAAAAGTTGTTTGATAAGCACAGACCCACATGGAGGGAACATTCCCGCCTCAGCTCTGCTGGGAGCATATTAAGACACTTTTGCTTTGCCCTCTGTTTTCCTAGCCTGCATGCAGACCTCTCCCACACATTCCATTTTCAGGCTAATTACATTTCCAGTAAGTTCCAGTGTTTTTCTTTCACCTCTAATTCTTCTCTGGGAATTGCAAGTTCTTGTGGTTAGAGTATTTTGGATCCTATTGCTTAATTTCCAAGCAAGAGAGAGTTAAAACAAAAGAGAGAGCTAAAATATACTGGACACAACTCAAACTTAGTAGCAAACATATTTTTGGAGTAAAATCGTATAAGATTTTCTAGAATCAAATATAATTCAGACATTCAATGTCCGATATTGCATAAGCTCTGAATAACATATTGACATAATAAACAATGAATGATGCCTTAAAAATGGGAGTGGAGAGGGGAAGGAAGCCAAAATTTAATTGCAAAGCAAACAAAGAAATAAAAATCAAATACTGATCAAAACTTTACATACAAATTATCCAGCACATAATTACAGAAGATGAAGCTGAGAACAGAAGCACTTGGCTTTCTAATGTGTAAAATGTCCTAGGGAGGCACCAAAAGCTCCCAGGCTATGAATCTGCAGGGCTTCTCCTGACTGTTTTCCTTGGATGTCTGTCCTGTTGAAGCCCAGCTCTACTCTCAAATTTCATATAGAATCCCATGCTTTAGAAGTCTCAAGTGATATTTAACATTTCTATGTTTAACACTGGGGTTATTAAAAAATGAAAGCTCTAACATCAATTATGTATTACCATAATTAACGTTTCACATTTTCTTACGAAAACAGCAAATGGAAGAGATGTCTTCCATGCCACAAGTAGAATCCAAGTCCAACTGCAGAAGCAATGTGCAGAATCTGCCTGCTATAAATTGTCCTTATGGACCTCCAGCCCCACGTGCACAGCCTTAGAGGGAGATGTAAACATCTAGGCCATAGATAGAGTCTGATCAAGCTGACACCTAATTCTCTCCTGTGTCGTCATCTGAAATGCTTGACTTTGAACATTATGTTCTAAGAGCATCAAACTTTGCGCAGTTCTCCATCATACTTGAGCTGTTTCACGCCTCAGTGCCTTGATCATGCTGTTCTGCTGCTTGGAGCCCCGCTTAGCCTCCAACCTTCCCCCGACCCCCGCCACACATTAGAATCATCTGTTGAGATTCCGCTCTTCCAGGAGGGCTCCCTTTCTACCACCACCCTGCGTTTGGATGAGGAAAGAAGAGCTCTCAGAAAGGAAGCGCATGGAAAGCTGTTTCAAGAATAGGGATAACTATAACTCTCATATTTTTTAAACTATATTTTAAAAACTCAAAGATGTTAAGTTGTTTAATGGACAACTGAAGAGAATATTTTTTGCTTCCTCATCCTAATTCATTCTGAAAAACTCATAGTGCTATTCAACCAACAAATTTTCATCCCCATCTCCACTAAAAGCCCACGTGCACATGCGCGCGCACGCAGACACACACACACGCACACATCCTTCCTCTGTGGCCCCCTATACTATAAATAGCATAGTGCCTGGCACAGGAGAGAGGCCCAAATATGTGTTGCTGTTCACTGAATAATTAAAGAAATACAACATGAGTAGATTAATCGAGTCCAAAGTGAAGTCAGTGCTAAGGAGGAAACAGACTCCAGAAAAGATTAGAGCTAGATACGGTCAAACAGAAAGATTTTCTGGAGAAAGTTAATTTTAACTACATGAAGAAGAAAAGAGCTACGATAATGCTATAATAATAGCGTTATAGCAATAATAGCATCTAACATTGATTAAATGTTTGATATTTGGCAGAAACTCTGCTGAACTATTTATATGTGTTCTCTTTTTAATTATCATAAGAACTGTGATGTGGACATTATTTCAGATTTAGAGATAAGGAAAGTGATGCTCAGAGCAGTTAGGCAACTTGTTCAGAGTCCTGCAGGGGTAAGCCACGAAGCTGGAAACCGAGCACAGGTATCATCTGGCTGGGATGGTGGGATGCCGAGCAGAAGAAGAGAGGACTGAGGACTAAGTGTCGAAAGAATGGATGCTGAAGCCCGGAGGCTGGCAGTGGCTGCAGATGCAACGGGACAGGAAAAAGGAAGTTAGCACGAGAGATGGCAGAAAACTTCAAAACCAGGGAGAAATTCTCTGGATTTTTGAATAGGAGAAAAATTTCCATAATGAAAATCAAGCTTGAGGCAAATTATTATAAAAGGTGCATGGACAAGAATATTGGTGGTCACAGGTGGACAGCTTGGGTAGAAAATTTTTATAAAAATATAATTATACTATTTTATGGTGAAAGCAGAGAGCTCTCCCCACTACATCTGTAAAAAGTTTTTTTGCTATAAGTGGGCCAGATCTGTCCTCCCCAAAATTCAGCATCTGGAAAACAGTGACAGGTACTTCATGATCAGAAAGTAGACATATCTCTTAACATCCTGCTTAGGAAAGAAAACAGTTACTTCCCATCTGTCTGTAGCAAAGTGGGGGTCAAACAAGAGAGATTAGCTAATTTACTTTCACATTGACCTGAAATACTGACTCCAAATATCAGAAGTCTTTTGACAGCAGTGTCCTTTATCTCACAAAGATCATTTACATTCACAACAGAAAGTTCCTCTCACTTTCAGAATCTATCATTTAAGTAAAATTATAACTTTAATCGCCGTTGCTGAAAAGCAGTTGAAAACCCCTTCACGGTTGAAGGCCTGGGTCATCATCCTGTTGCTCTCATCTAAAGGCACCTGGATAACTTATTTTCCAATTTTTAAATGCAGTTTTACAATTTTATATTACATCTAAGTATTATTATATTATCTATACTTTATATTAACTTTATATTGCCCATAAACAAGAGTCAAGGAATTTTTAAAAAATCAATATGACCTCTTTTTATTCTCTGGCTCTGCGGTAAACAGAGAAAATGTACATGTTCCCTCACCTCTGTCTCCTCTATCCCTTAACTCTTGAAGGACTCTTACATACTAAAGGGTTGTACAGAGCTTAATAAAAGCACTTAATTTAATTTTATTTCATTTATTATATTTTTTAATTATTTTTGTTTTATATTTTATTTTATTATTTTAATAAAAGCAGCACCTTCTGTGGTGCTGGCCTAAACATTTGCAGTAGAACATTTCCTAAAAGGAAACTCCCGCAAGCTGTCAGAAACAGTGGGGCAATAACCTCTCTGAGGACTAGAATCTGATGGGGTTGGGAGAGGGGACTCCGTGAAATCAGCTCAAAGACAAGAAGGCCGTGTTCATAGAGCATCAGGTTCTTGCAGGACAGGAAAATACAAATCTAAAAGGCAGAACCTTTAAATATTTAGAATTTTCAAAATATGAATACAGAATATCTCTATC